TAGGCTTCCAGGCCATACATCAGAAAATAATGCTACATACCAACAAACAATGCCATCCCCAAAATGATCTGGGTGCTTTCTAGGTTTCCTTACATATAACGTATCAGTTGTTGATGAAATAGTGGAGTGGATGAGACCTGAGAAAGTGAACAAAATTGTAGTTGTCTGGAATAGGGAATTGAGACATTATGGAGGCTTGTGCCAAACTTGGTGTCAATAGGGAATGCTGGGATCATATCTCAGGTGTCTCAGTTCACATCAGCCAGCTTCAATAAGAAATGGTGTCTAGGTGTCCTTTATTTTACACCTGAAATTCTAAACCCCAGAGCAGAAGTACAGCAAAGAAAAGTGGAAGTCTTGAGAACAGAGCAAACTCCTAGACGCTAATATCAGCACACAATATCCAGGTTGGTGCAAGTGAGAGTAGAAAATGGCCATTCTGTTTGAAAACTCTGCCACAAAACTTAATGTCTGGCTCTTTTCTAAGGTTTGGCATACAAAAGAAAGAATAACAATTATGGAGTCTGAATGCAGAGGAATATGCCAGTGTGTGTAATATTCATGATGCATATGGTTAGAGATGTATATGAAAATACGAGCATTTGTCATATTTGGCCTGCGTAATTTTATAATAAATATCAATACCCAGCAGGGGAGAAGGGAGTCAACATCCATCACTATACACCTGCTTTAGAAACAACTTCTTTAGGACAATAACACCTTTGAAGTTTGGATGCCATGATGTTAATAGAAGCACAAAAGCTGAATGCTGACTCCTGATATAAGGAGTAGAGAACAGGCTTTATTTGGAATAGGACTAGAGGTCATTTATATTACATATGACAAGGAGTAGATAGATTTTTCCAATGTCCAGACAATTGAGTGACCATGAATTAATGAGTATGCATTTCAATCTGTCCTAATGTTGAGGCTATGGCACTCTTACTACTTACTGTTATTATGTTTATAGTGATAGGTTGAAGAATATATTAAATGTTTTATATAATAACTTTCTTTAATGTTTATTATATTTAACATATTTAATTGAGAGACCTGTTTCCCTAAAGAGTCCAAGGCCATAGCAAAAATACAGCTATAATTCACAATAGGCTGCACAGAGTCAGGCTCCAGGTCCCCTGGATGTCCCCCATCTTGTCCATAGTTACAAGAAAAACTGCAAACATCACTTCCATGGAAAAGGGCCAACTAGGCACAAGACTACAAACTGCATATGTCTTTCTGTTGAGATAAGATAAAAACTGTGTAACTTCCACCAGAACGTTGCAACTTCCTTAAACTCCCAAACAGCCAATTAATTCATCTGATACCCACATCCCAACTTTAGCCTAACCCAAGCCTGGAACCATGCAGCCTTGAATTTTCCCCAACTCCCTTTGCACTCTTCTGTAAAGCCTCTACCCACTACTGCTTGGCATCTCTCATGCTCTACTGCAGCATCAGACTGCATGAGAAGCCTGAGATAACTCTTAAGAAAGACTCTTTGCTTTTGCCCTGGATCTGGTCTCTTGGTGGTCTCTCAGGACTTTGGGTGCAACATAACAACTATGCTCTGATACATAGTCTTCCAAGTTGCATTTGCTCAGGCATTATGGGCAGTGTCTGTGGTTAAGTATTGGGCCACTATGCCACGGCAACAATCCCTTGTTCTCAGGAGCTTCACAAGGAGGCAGAAGTTTCTGTGGCACAACCACATTAAAAAAGGAATTTTCTTATCTAAGCACCAATATTTAAATGATAGTGTGAGAGATGTACAATATATACAGGATGAAAGAATAGCAACAGCTTCCTTATGCAGGCCTATGATCTTCCCAGCTGCAGATGTTCATCCTGGCTTACAGGCAAAGATATAAAAAATATGAACTCTCCCCTGTGGTATTGGTTGAACCCCCCATAGATGTGCTACTTACTATTGCTCAAGCAATAATCTACATGACATTCAGTACTCAGGCAAGTAGAATCCATACCCTAGTGGGACTGTTCAATACAACCTTCCTCAGTAGTCTGTGTAACAACCCACACTAGCAGTAAGAAGAGAGCTTCTATCTCAATATAAGCTTTATGTCTTTATGTCCTGAAACAAAGCTTATGGAGTCTTCAGCAAAGGATCCTACCATCATGCTCTTCCTCGCAAACAAATGCAATGGTGATACTCTTTGTGGTGCTCTGAGGTCTCTATGTGGTTTCCCATGTTGGATTCTTATTTATAACACATGCAATTGTCTTTTTTACCCAATGTATGACACCTTTTTAAAAAGTTAAGTTCCTTAGCTATTGCTTTAATAACGTGTGTGTGTGTGTGTGTGTGTGTGTGTGTGTGTGTGTGTGTGTGTGTGTACCTGTGGCTTTTTACATTTACAGGCACAGGACACTTCAGGATTTTTAAAAAATAACTCTTTCAGGTATCATGTGTGTCTTACAGAACCATAGTACTCACAGGATTTTACAACTGTGTTTGGCCCTTGTACCTTGTGTGGATTCATCTTCTACTCTTGTTTTTCTATGGGTACATGAGAGGTTTTAGATTTTATTTAATCTGAAAAACACTCAGAGATTAGTATATATATATTTGTTACCAAGGTACTTCAAGAACCCAGGACCCAGAATGTAAATGTGAAAGTATCCTTTGCAAGGGGGTGGCAGGGTAGTGACTGTCCACTTTCCAGTAAATGCGAACTATTCCTGGTATCCAGTAGGTAAGCAAATGCTTAAAAAATCAGTTGCAAGACCTAATACAGCCTGCAAAGTGCCCAGTACTCAACAGAATTGACTTCCTTACACTGAGGAAACTCAATATGGCCTCCAATTATTTCCCCATCATCAAAAACTTTATGGGGACATTTCAAATTAGTTGAGCCCAGGGACAGGTGGGAACAGAATCTCATTTGCCAGGCTCTATCACACCCAGGGACTGGCAGACTACTGCTTTGACCTGTAGCTCTGGCATTTTCCACCATCTGTCCCTTGGGCATTCCTGGTACAGGTGAGTGTCTCAGATTAGTCGGATAGTTCTATCTCCAGCACATCTCTAGTGGGAATAATGCCCACCCCTGTTATAAGCTTGATTATTTTTAATTGTTCCAGCCCCAGTTCAATCAACCTATTCCCCAAGTGTTTGGGGGAGGGCACTCATGAATTAATGTAATTTTGAGTTTAATACTCACCCAAATATAAGAAACTGTGCTGAATAGTAGACCCAGAAATCTATAATTTGGCAAAAGGCCTGCAGTTGCCAGTTAGAATCATCAATCACAGGCATACTTGGACACCCAGTGGTTTCCATCCAATGGTATCACCCTTCCCTACAGGTTTTGGTGGGGACGACTCGTTCCCCTCTCTCTAGCTTTTACTACTTTTAGCCCTGACTTGGGCTTTAAAGACATTCAAGAAGCCACAAGCAAAATATTTGGCCTTTAATCAGTTTCCCCCCTAGGGATTTATGATTTTTTTGTGATGTAAACAGAACTCATCATTTGCTTTTTACTTTCCTCATCTCCTCTTGAATGATTTAACATGTTTATAAACTCAGTTTATTTGTAGATCTAGAATCAGGTAGTTCTGATAATGCCTTTCCAAATTCTCATCGACCCCATCCCAACAATGGACATAGAAAATTACAAAAATGCCCTATAATAATATTCTGGTTTCTTACAAATCAATTGTTTTTGTTTTTAGTTTAGTGTTTTTAACTCCCCATGAACACAGTCCTATTTTACCATCACTTCCATAACCCTTAATGTGTTTGTTTATCTTTCTATTTTTTTCTTTATTACCCTTTTCTGTGAATTTCAAGTGTTTGAATACCATTAAGGGCTCATTAGCACAAAACTAACTTGAACACACTTTCTCTTCCATCCTGCCAGGTGTAAGAACTGGGCAAGCCCATTTCTCCATGTCATCCTCTTTTATCAAATTTACCCCCCAAACTGGAGGCTATTGCAGAACACAAAAGCCATATATTACTTTCCCTGTGTAATGTCTCCGTTGCACAAGAAATTTCCCACTGACTAGTCATGTTGACAGTAGATGTACTTTCCATTACACATAGCAGTGCTTTGGCAACTTCACTACAGCTTATCAATACTCTTCTCTTACTTGTTATTCTCAAGGACCATAAATTTGCTCTGGAACTTTAGCCTATCTCATAGCACCTCTGAATTCACACAGCAGACCCCACTTATTGAGCAGGTGTGTTACTCTATAATACTTAGAGGAAAATAGACACACTTGGATATTTCCTACAGACACATAACCCAGAATTTCCCTCTGGGAAGAAAGCTCATCCTTGCTTGAATGTTTTATCACCCATAGCAAAGTCCCTTCCTATTGCTGATGAAGCAAGAGACATGTTTACACTATGTGGGAAAAGGTCTCAGCACCCATGGTAGAGGCATGGACAGTTTCCTGACAGTTTGGTTCTTTCTTGTCCATATTCTGGTGCCAAGTGTGTTTTGTGAGACTTCTTTTAATGATATAGAGCAATCTCTCTCTCTCTCCTGTCTCTTTCACTCACTCTCTCCCTCTCTTTCACTTGCTCTCTCTGTCTCTCTATGGTGTGTGTGTGTGTGTGTGTGTGTGTGTGCGCGCGTGCGCATTAATTTCAGTTGTTTGTACAACTTGAATGCAGTGCCATCATGATGAAAAGCTCACACCAGAATTTACTGCAATTCTTTGACTCTGCATCTACAGAGCTTTCTCCTAGGTTTCCAGGAAGCTCCACGGGGCCAAGATTTACCACTTGGCAATTCAGTAGGTCAGAATCAACAACTAATTCTCCTCCCATAACTTTGTTTTGTGGGTTAATCTTGTAAGTTTCAGCTTTTCCAGACAAGTGAAGAGTGTTTAGTTGCCCACTATCATAAACCTCAATCTTCTACTTTAGCCAAGTGTCTTAACTCACATAAAATTGCTTTGCAAGACACCAGGCTGTCAATCATACTGAAAGCTTCCAAGTCACTGGGATGTGCTTGTATATATTAAGGGTGGCCAGTCAGCAATCCACAGTGTGTTAAAGCATCTCAGCTGGTCAGGCCCTGGAACTATTCCTGAGCTTCTGGTAAGTCAGTCAGCTCTGTGGGAACCCTCTCTGCTTCTCTAAATGACCATTACAGTTACAAGCTTGGCACTTCTGATGCTACTGTCCTACTATATCCAGAATATTTCTTCCCCTCACAGCCATGTCAGAGCTCAGTGATATTATCTTCTTTGCCTTTTTTCTTCCAGCCCTAGGATATTGATGTTCAACAGGATGAAGACTACCACTTGCTCTCTTCTCATCATCATCTCCCTTCTTCAACTGATGGTCACAGTGAATACTGAGGACAGCTTAGTCTCTTTCCTGCAGAAGCTCAAGCAACTTCTCAATCATCATGGTATAAGATTAATAGGAGAACTATAGCCTAATTCTTGATTATGCTGACTATTCATAAAACCTAAAAGCCCTGTATTCCACACTAAGACCTCAGCCTCTGTTCAGCCCACTTCATCCCTGCCTTCCTGACTAGGGCTTTCTTCAGTACTCTACCCTTTGGAACTCACAGACAAGAACTCAGTGTTCTTGATGACGATGAGGTTGAGGAAAACGAGGCTAGGTCCTGTAATTTATGAACACACTGTGACACAGGTGTAATATTAAGTTTTTACTTAGTCCTTTTAATTTTCACAGTCAATTTATATGGTAAGTATGCTTTTCTTTTCACAAATGAGGAAACTAAATCTTTAAATTTTGTGAGTATACTACTATAGAAACAGTGACACTCCAAAGATAGAGGAGGATTTTAAAGAGAATTTTGAGAATACTCATGGCAATATGTTTTTTTTCCTTTTATTCAGATGTCAGTCACTCCCCTGTGACTAATACTCTCTCCTGCACTAGTGTCAAGGCTATGGGCACTCTAGCATCCTGTCCTACTGGTGAGTAAAAACTCAAGGAGAATTTGTGAATAATCTGTCCCTTTGTCCACCCTATCATTTCCTTAATATCACCTTCTTTTTACTCAGATGTGAATTGCTATGGAGGTGATTCATAGTCCCAGGTGCCTAGACATCCCATCCTGGTTTTCCGTTAGTTTAAGGATGTTCTTCTAGTCACTTGTTCCTTCATGCCCACATATGATGTTCTACCTGGGCTTCAATTGTGTGGTTATAAATATGACCTTCTTTTCTTTCCCATTCTTTCCTTGTAGTAGAGGAACCAGAACAGAGGGGAATTAGACATCAAATGAAAGACAGTGAAACTCCAAGTATTTTAAATGAATTTTTTTCTTGAGGATAACTCTAAAAATGGATTTAGTTTTATGCCCCACAAAATGTACATTATGCATGAGCTTCCTAGGGAGAATAGTTAGAGATTCTCCACATCTTATGGTCCTAGGACTCTGATGTCTTTCTCTCATACAACAATGCAGGAATGACTGTTACTGGTTGTTCTTGTGGCTTTGCTTGTGGATCTTGGAATGTCCAGAATGAAAATGTTTGCCACTGCCTATGCCCAATCATTGACTGGACTGCTGCCCGCTGCTGCAAACTGGCCTGAAAATGAGGACCTTAAAATCCAGTTTTGAAATGATGATTATAAAGAAATTGTCATCCCACCCCGGAAATCTGATTCACTGTGCCTGTGGTGAATTCATATTACACAGTAACCCTGCTTTTTAAGCAATAAAGGCAGATTTGTACTCATCTTTCTTTGTGTCTTCAATGTTATTAACCCGGGTTTGTGGTGTCTGTTGCAAGACAACAGTTTTACTACCTCAATGGTTACATCTCCCTGTATTTGAGATGGGTGATCAAGAAAGATTTGAAATGAATGGGAACTCTCCTATTCTTCCATTTTATTAAAAGGTAAAGGATATTGGATGGTAATCAATACAAACAAACGGAATAGCATGCTTTTGTGGAACAGACACCTGCAGCATGAGATTTGGAAGACTGCAAATTGTAGGCAGACAGGGGAAATTTATAATTACTGTGTTCTAGCTTTTCAGCATGTATGTATACCCCTTATCACCTGTCTCACAGATGTCAAAATAAAACCATGATCCTCACCTATCACTGAGAATTACAATACTGCATCTTAGTGGGGCATTAGAAATGTACAGAATTCCAAAGCAAAAAACAACTTATAATATTGATGACAATGCTAAGAAAGTAAGCAAGTGATTTGTGTATTAAGTGTTCTGTAAGTTTGGAGGCTTCCAATTGTGAGCCTTCACAGGCAGATATAATTCTTTTGTCAACTTTAGACTACCAAGATAATTTTAAGTAATAAATAGTAGTGTGATTGTTTATAATTTAAAATGAATTACATTGAATAACAATGAAATTCATTTTCCATCTTTTATTTATGACAGTAGGTCCATCAAAGCTAAAAGCCACAATGAACACACCTTTTATACTTAAAACTCACATAAAACATGCAGACAGGGTAGTTATGTAGTAATCCAAGTTTTGAGGAGGCATAGATGGGTGAATTCTTTGAACTCACTGCCTAGCCATAATAAATGAATTGGTAAGCTTTAGTCGTAGTGAGAGGACAAAGTGAACAGAACCTGAGGACAATTTCAAGATTACTTCTGACGTTGTTGACATATGTAGATGAACATACACGGAGAGACAGAGGTGACAGAGAGAGAGAGAGAGAGAGAGAGAGAGAGAGAGAGAGAGAGAGAGAGGAGATTGGGATTAAGTTGAGAATACAAATATAGAATGAGCATTTTCCTTCAGGGTAAGTTAAATTTTTGAAGAAGAGTTCAAGATGGAACAGCTTCCTTTGCATGAGCTAAGGACACATGAGATGCTTTAAAGTTATTTATGTTTTATTACATGATATTTATATTAATGTAAGACCTTAGGGATAAATAATAAAGGAACAGTTAGAACAATGATATTTATACATAAAGTTGACATGGGGAAATTGTCCTAGTTGGGTTGTGTCAATCAACACAGTTATATTCAGGTGGAGCTGTGGCTCTCCCTTTGAATGGGGATTCCTTACTGCTTAAATGATAATGTATTCAACTTACTTAAACCTTGTGCAGTCCAAGCTCTTTAGCCACATTTGATTTGACATTAGTTATTCAGTTCTTAATTGCCTGTATTGAACTCCTGGTCTAATGGCAGGCTTAGAACTTGACCTGTAATTTTAAAAAAATAAATAAAAATCTTTCCAAAAGCAAGCATTGTCATCACCCACCAGTTATTCTGTATTTTGAACACTTGTTGCTCAGTCCTCACATCACAGTACTAGGCTTCCAGGCCACACTTCACAAAGAAGTCAGGCTCTATGCCAACAAACATATGCTTACATATAACATATCAATTTTTGATGAAATAGTGGATGAGAAATGAGAAAGTGAACCAAAAATGTAGCTGTCTGGAATAGGGAATTAAGACATTATGGAGGCTTGTGCCAAACTTGGTGTCAACAGGGAATGCTGGGATCATATCCCAGGTGTCTCAGTTCACATCAGCCATCATCAATAAGGAAAGGAAAAGGTAAGTCTTGAGAGCGAAGCCAGCTCCTAGAGACTAATGCCGGTGCACAATATCCAGGTTGGTGCAAGTGAGAGTAGAAAATGGCCATTCTGTTTGATAACACTGCCATAAAACTTCATGACTGGCTTTTTGTAGGGTTTAGCATGCAAAAAACAGAATAATAATTATGGAGTCTGACTGCAGAGGAATATGTCTGTGTGTATAATACCCATAATGAGTATGTTAAAGATATATATGAAAATATGAGCATTTGTCAGAATTCATTTTCTTAACTCCTGAAGGTTCCTGCTAGTTTTATAATAAATATCAATTACCTAGAGGAGAGAAGGGATTCAACATCCATCACCATACACTTGCTTTAGAAAAAATTTTGTTAGGACAATAAGCTGAGGCTGAGTAACCTTTTGGTCTCAAGCAGTCTTGCATCTAAACTGGCTGTTTATTTATATATTTTTGGTATTGCATAAAAATATTTTACAGTTTATGTAACTTCCTTCTGTTATGGTCAATACCCAAATGAAATGAAAAATGTACTAACTGAAATGGATAACAAACATGTTTGAATCCACTTCATGTATTTCATTTAGCTGCAGAGAAATTACACACTTTCATACAAAGGAGAATGCAGTGGAATGGAAAGACCTTGGTTCCAGTACCAGCTCCCAGTCTACAAGATGCTCATCTGTCACCTTAGGTAAGCCCAGTTTTCGCCTCAGTCTTGGTTTAGTAATTGTTTTGGGGTGGTATCAAATTAGATCAGGTCCAAGGACTTTTCAAGCTATAATGCTCTGATGTTGATGCCAGGCTGAAATCTGAAACACAGAGACAGCTTAGGATACTGCAAGCGAAGTTAATGCCTATTTCTGTGGGAGTTTGGATGCCATGATGTCAGCAGAAGCATGAATGCTGAAGCCTGGAATAGGACTAGAGGTAATTCACGTTGCATTATGACAAGGACTAGATACACTTTTCCCATGTTCAGATAATTGAGTGACCATTGATTCAATGTGTATGCATTAAGTTGTTTGAAAGTTCTAATCTGTCCTAATGTTGAGGCTATGACATTCTTATTTTTTACTGTTTGTTTATAGTGATAGCATGAAAACATATTTAAAATGTTTTATAATTTCTCTTTCTTTCATGTTTATTACATTTAATATATTCAGTTGAGAGACCCAGTCCCCCAAAGAGTTCCAGGTCTTAGCAAACCTACAGCAGTAATTCACAACACAGCACAGAGTCAGAGTTCAGGCCCCCTGAGTCAGTGGGATATGGATGTCCCCGACCTTGGCCCTAGTTCAAGAAAAACTGCAAACATCCCTTCCCAGGAAAAGGGTCAATTAGGCACAAGACTTACAAACTGCTCATGTCCTTTTGCTGACATAAGATAAAAACTGTATAACTTCCTTAAATCCCCAAGTAGCCAGTTTACTCAGATACCACTACCCTGAGTTTATCCAGTCCCAAGCCTGAATCATGAACCTTTAACTTTCCTTGACTCCCTTTGCCTTCCTCTGTAAAAGTCTCAACTCCCTATCACCCAGGATCTCTCCTACTCTATGGCAGCATCAGACTGACTAAGAGGCCGTAGTTAACTCTTAAGAAAGACTTACATATGCCAAGGACTTGGTACACTCTTCCCATGTCCAGAAAACTGAGTTTCCATTGATTCAATGTGTATGTATTAAGTTGCTTTTAACATCCAATCTGTCCTAATGTTGAGGCTATGGCATGGTTATTACTCAATTTTCATTGTCATGTTTATAGTCATGTTTATCATGATAGGATGAAAAACATATTGGAATGTGTTTTATAATTTCTTTCATGTATATTACATTTCACATATTGAATATCTACACTCATATATAATTTCCCAAGTTGCATTGGCTCATGTATTATTGCCAGCGTCTACAGTTAACGTACTGGGCCATTGAGGCGCAGAAGCTATCACTTGTTCTCAAGTGCTTCACAAGGAGGCAGGAGTTTCGGTGGTACAGCAATCATTAAAAAATGAATTTTATTCTCTATGCACAAGTATTTAAAAGACAGTTTGAAATGTATGATTTCCATTGGATAAAAGAATAACAACAGCTTCCTTTTGGGGCCTATGATCTTCCCAGTTGCAGGTTTTCACCCTGGCTTACAGGGAAAGATATAAAAGATATGAACTCTCTCCTGTGGTATTGGTGGGTTCAACTTACTATGCAAGCAACAACCTGCCTAGCATTCAGTACGCTAGCAAGTAGATTCCATAGCCTAATAGGATTATTCATGACAACTTTTCTCAAGCAGCCTGTGTAACATATTCCCACACTAGCAATAAGAAGAGAGCTTCCATCTTAACCTAAGCTTTACTTGTTTATGCCCTGAACCAAAGCTTGTGGAGTCTTCAGCAAAGGTTAGTACCACCTTGTTCTTTTGCAACAATAGCAATGTAGAATGTTTACTTCCTCAGTCTCATGAACCTCACCTCTTTTACTTAAGCCAAGTGTCTTAATTCACAGGAAATTGTTATACAAGACATCCGAGCTGTCAAAATGTACTGAAAGCATTTACCTAATTGGTGTCTATTTGTATATATTAAGGGTGGCCAGTCAGCAATCTACGGTGTGTTAAAGCATCTCAGCTGGTCAGGCCCTGGAACTGCTCCTGAGCTTCTGGTGAGTCAGTCAGCCTTCTCTGCTTCTCTAAATGGCTAATACAGTTACAGGCTGGCTACTTCTGCTGCTCCCTCCCTACTCTCTCCAGAATATTTATCTCCCTCACAGCCATGCCAGAGCTCAGTGATCTCATGTTCTTTTCCATTTTCTTCCAGCTCCAGGACACTGACTTTCAACAGGATGAAGACTACAACTTGTTGCCTTCTCATCTTTCTCTGCCTTCTCCAGCTGATGGTCCCAATGAATACTGAGAAGACCTTAGACTCTCTACTGGAGGAAAAAATCAAGAAACTTACCAGCTGTGAAGGTATGGGATGAGTAGGAGACAGCATAGCTTAATCTTTGCTCGTGCTGATTGTTCATATCCCACTCTGAGACCTCAGCCTCTGTTCAGCCCACTTCATCCCTGCCTTCCTAACCAGGGTTTTCTTCAGTACACTACCCTCAGAACTCTTAGACAAGAACTCAGTGTTCTTGATGAGGATGAAGAGAAGAAGAATAGGTCCTGTAATTTATGAACGCATTATGGAAAAGGTGTAATATTAAGCTTTTAGTTAGTTCATTTAATTTTCACAGCCACTTTATGAGGTAAGTATTCTTTACTTTTTTACTACTCACTCTTCACAAATGAAGAAAGTAAATCTTAAAAGTTAGCGAGTGGGTTACTTTTGGAAACAGTGACTCGCCCAAGATAGAAGAGGACTTAAACAGGAATTGTGAGAAAAGTCATGGGCAACATCACTTTCTCCCTCTTACTCAGATGGCTGTTTCTCCACTGTGACTAAGGCTCTCTCCTGCACTAGTATCAAGGCCTCAGGCAGACTAGCCTCCTGTCCTCCTGGTGAGTAACTCCTCAAGGAGAATTTGTGAATTGTCCCTGTGTCTACCTCTGCCATCCCTTCTCCTAACTCAGGGTTGTATTGCTATGGAGTTAAGTGACGGTCCCAGACACCTAGAAATCTCTTCCTAGTTTTCAGTTACCTTAAGGATGCTAGTGAGGGACTTGGGATTTTGCTCTTCTTGTCACTTCTTCCTTTATGTCCCTCATGCCAGCCTTTCCTGTTCCTTAACTGTGCAGTCACAGACAATTGATATCACAATCTTCTTTCATTTCATAATCTGTTCCTTATGTTGGTGAGCAGGGGGCAGGAGCATGGGTGAAATTGCTATTTTTTGAAAGAGGGAAACTCCAACTTCCAAGTCCTTCAGTTTAAGTCCTTTTTGCATTTCTTCTGCTTAAAGAGAATTCTGAAATTCAGATAGCTTTATTCCCTGCAAAACCTAGATCTCCCCACACACCTCCCAAGAAGAAAGGACAGTTAGGGACCTTCCATTTCTTGCAATCTAAAGGTCCTGATGTCCGTGTCTCACATGACTATGCAGGGACGGCTGTCACTGGTTGTGCTTGTGGCTATGGCTGTGGATCATGGGATATCCAGAATGGAAATACTTGCCACTGTCAGTGTGCAGTCATCGACTGGGTCAGCGCCCGCTGCTGCCAACTGTCCTGAGAATGAGGAGGCTGAGAACCCATTTTGGAAATGATGACTATAATGAAACCGCAATCCCAACTTAGCAACCTGGTTCATGTCCCCTTGATGCATTCATATTACCCAGTAATCCTGCTTCTTGAAAAATAAAGAGAAATTTCACCTGCTTATATTATGTTTCTAATGTTATTACTCCTAACATGGGAAATCTCTTGGCAGAAAACATGTTCAGTACCTTAGATTGCATCCCAGTATGGCATGTGAGATGTGCGGTTAGGAAAGATATGGGAAGAATGGGAAACAGACTGATCCTTTACTTCTCCTGTTCCCTCATTATTTAACAGAAAGTATGGAGTACATTGCTTGGCATGAAATATAGCAAAATGAATATCATGCTGTTAATGGAGCTCACCAACTAGGACACAAACTCCAACCCATGTGCAGGAAAACTTTGCAAGGCGTAGGCAGGCAAGAGGAAAATGAAAAGAATTAATTTAGAACCTTTTAGCACACACATGTACTCTTCTTTCTTACTCTAGTACTAAAGAGGGCATTCATCAGGGTGACTTCCTTCCCTGTTATTCTTCTTTTGGATAACAAAATAAAACCACATCTCTCACATGTCATTGAGCCTTACTACACTTCATTTTCCTGGGTGTAAAAGCTTAGAGAATTCTGGGTAAAAAAAAAATACAGAATCCTAAACAGAAAATAAGTGTTAAGTAAGTGAGTAACCCAAAGGCTTGGAAGTGACAGTGGTTTAAGTTGATGGACTTGAACTTTTGACCTGAATGATCTTGAATGAGTTAGATTACCAAAAATGATTTTTTTCTTTTTTATTTATTCATCTCTAATACATTACATCCTGATCACAGTTTCCCCTACCTCCTCCTATCCTCTCAGCACCTTTACCTCTCCTCTTCCCCTGATCTAGTCCTCTTTCAATTCCCTTCAGAAAAGGGCAGGCCTCCAAGGGATATCAACCAAACATGGTATACCAAGTTACAATAAGACCAGTCACACACCCTCATATTGATGAGACAACCCAGTAGGAGGAAAAGGGCCCCAAGAGCAGGCAAAAGAACAAGAGAGAGCCCTCATTTTCACAAGACCACCAAGCTTCACAACAATAACATATAAGCAGAGGACCCAGGACACACCCATGCAGACATCCTGATTGTTGGTTCAGATTTGTGAGCCCCTCTTAGTTGATTTTGTGGGTTTTCTTGTGGTGTCCTTAACCTCTATAGCTCCTTCCTCCCCTTATTCTGCAGGGTTAACCAAGCTCCAGCTAATATTTAGCTATGGGTCCCTGCATCTGCTCCCATCTGTTGATAGATGAAGCCTCTCTGATGACAATTATGCTAGGCTCTGTTATCATTAGTAATCTTTCATTAACTTTTATTTTCTGGTCCTGTTTGGCTCTATCTTAGATCTTTGGGCTAACCACTCTGGTTTGTGGCCCTCCAGGCATGGGCTCCTCTCATGTCATGGATCTCAAGTTGGACCAGTCATTCACTGGCCACTCCTACAGTTTCTGTGCCACTTCTACCCCAGCACATCTTCCAGGCAGGACTAATTGCAGGTCAAAAGTTGTGCCTGTCTTAGTGTCCCAATCTCTCCACTGGTAGCCTTGCCTGGTTACAGAAGGTGACCTGTTCAGGCTACATATCCACCATTACTGGGAGACTTTGTTAGACTCAACCTTGTAGATTCCTGGCAGTTTTCATTGCACTAGGTTTCCACCTCATCCCTAAAATGTCCCCCAATCCCAGTTGTCTCTCCCAGTGCTCTCTCCCCACACATCCCCCATTAGATCCCACCTGTCCCCATACCCACAAACTACCCAGTCCACCAGTGAAGTCTGTTAAATTTCTCCTTCCCAGAGAGATCCATTGAGCCCTCCTTGTTAGTTATCCTCTCTGGGTCTGTGGATTGTAGTATGATTATCCTTTACTTCACAGCTAAGGTCCACTTATAAGTGAGTACATACCATGTTTATCTTTCTGGGTCAGAAAAAACACAGAATTTTTTTTTTCTACTTCCATCCATTAGCCTGCAAATTTCACGAGGTTATTGTTTTAAGATCTGAGTAATACTCCTTTGTGCAAATTTACCTAATTTTCTTTATTCATTCTTTGTTGAGGGACATCTAGGTTGTTTCCAGTTTTTGACTCTTATGAATAAACTGCTTTGAACATAGTTGAGCAAGTGTCCTTGTGGTAGGATGGAATACACTTTGGGTATATGCTTATGAATGGTATAGGTGGGTCTTGAGGTAGATCAATTCCCAATTTTCTTTTTTTTTCTTATTTTACATATCAATCCCAGTTCCCTTACCCTCCCTTCTTCTCTCCCACCTTCCCCCTCCACCAAAAACCCTCCCATCCACCCCCACCCCACATGTAGGGTGATGCCTTCCAGTAGGGATCATCTAAATCTGTCAAGTCATTTGGAGTAGGGACTAGGCCATCCCTCCTGCCTCTAGGTTAAGGCAGTATCCCTCCATGGGGAATGTGCTCCCAAAATTCTTTTGTGCACCAAGGATACATCCTGGTTCCACTGTCAGAGGTCCCTTAGACTGCCGAGGCCTTCTAATTGAGACCCATGTTCAGGGGGTCTGAGTCGGTCCGATGCTGGATTCCCAGCTATCAGTCTGGGGACCCATTGGCTACTCCTTGTTCAGGTCAGCTGTCTCTGTGTGTTTCTGTAGCCTGATTTTGTCCTCCCTCTCTGCATCTGGATTCTGGTTCAGGAGGCAACGAGGTAAATGTGGGCAACAGCCTGTCATGTGGTTTCAGTATAAGAGTTCATGAGGCAGTATAAAAGGGTTAGAGGTTGAGGCAATGGTTCAGGAGTGAAACATTTGCAACACAAGCATGAATACCTGAGTTGAGATCCCCAGGACACATGTAAATGCTACTAGGGTATGGTAGTGTGCTTATAATGTTAGTCTTCAGGATGTGGAGATAGGGGATCCTTGAGGCAAGGTGGCTGGCTACACTAATCAAACTGTGAATGCAGGTGCAGAACAATCAAAGAAGTCATATGTTACCTACTTCTACTCTCCAAATGCATGTATATGCAAGTTCTCACACATGAAATCTTCACACACATGTGCATACATGCATACATACATGCATTCATACCACATGTTTTTTTTTTTTTTTTTTTTAAAAAGAAGTGGTTAAGGGTTGGCTAGCCTGAAATTTTTCAGTGAGGTCTGGGATATAAGTGCCCTCCTTGGTAGTCTGTTATTATCTGGTCTAGTAGTATCTAGAACAGGTGAAGAAGAATCTAGATTAAGTCCAAGAGAGAAGGTGGATGAGGTAATGGACTACTGAAAAAAACCTATGAAAGGGGAGTTGTTTCTCATACCTATGAATTAGTTAGTAGCCCCTCCAGGATCAGCAATGCCTCAATATCAAAACATGCTAGTATATATACTCTTTTATAGGTCTTCATGTTTCTTTCCATTTTATTCACTAAAGGAGCTTGGTTAAAAAAAAATCTCTTCTAAACTACCTTGATGTTTCTATAGAAAATTTCCTGTGCAATGCCTCAGATTCTGTCTGCTATGCTGGAGTATCTGTTACACCTGAGTCTTTCAATTCTCATAGAGTGAGATTTTGTAGGACATCGAAAAAGATAGGAACTAGCGGAACCTTTCACAGGGTTCCATGCTTATCTGATTCTCATGTCAGATCACACTTACTGTAAAGGAGTTCTTCCATGAAGTCTGAAAAGTTTTCCCAACTGCCCATTTAGAACCTAGAACTGGTTACTATCGTAATATCAAAAGACAGCCCCAGGAATTGTATTAACCTGTAACTCTATGATACTCAGCAAAGAACTAAGGAGGCAGCCTCACAGAAAGCAACTTGAAGAGAAAGTGGCAAGTGTCATTGTGTCTGTAGCATCATTCTTTGGGAACAGGCTTTCCCCATGGAAACATGAGCCAAGATGCAGCCTTCAATTGTCAGTGTTTGTAACTTACCCCAAATACCCGGGAGATTGTGCTGCCTCTAGCAGCCAACACAAATCAACCAACAATCACCTGCTTCAAGCTTGAAACACCAGATGACCACTCCACCCTGTGGTATTTGTAGTCCTTTTGTGTCACATTGACTTGTTCTCACTGCTTTTTCAAGAAGGAAGCATGAATCATCAAGGTTATAAAATCTCTTAGACTGTCCACATGTTTCAAACAGCCTATTTCACTTATACAATAGGAAATCAACAATGGAAGAAAGGATTCCTAGATATTAGATGGGAGGGGAGGGAGGAAATGAATTGAAATCACTATCTCTCGTCATGGGTCCAGTGTGAAATACTTTTGCAAATCTAATTATAGCTAACACATAAAGACCCTTTGAAAAAGCAATATGGAAACCTACTACTGTAGAAGCTCCCTGAAATATATCAGCCTGAATTTTTTTTAAGTACACTTTTCTTTATGTTCAAAGAAGTTAGCTTTCACACTGAAATCTTGGAAATAATTCATTGATTCAATGGGTGACAAAAGTACAAAAAAAATCTGTTACTGGGAATAAGAAATCTATTAACCAGATTAAGGAAAATTGCTTATATCAGTAAAACTTTTATTGAATTACATGTGCATGTTCTGTATAATTTTCATAACTATTATGATTATTGGTACTGACAGACTCTGGTTTATTCCTTCTCTTTAGATTTTAAATTAGCACATGGAGTAATGGGCTTCATTATGATACTTTCACACATTCATTGTTTCCACTGATTCTCCGTCCCTGTTCCCTTGAATAGGTTCCCTTTTTAGAACCTGTGTCCTGTTGCCCTTCATCCTCCCAGTGCCCCTTCTTGGCTTTCTTGTCACATATTTATTACTCTCTTCTTATCTCCTCCCTCCCTATACTCTTTAGGCATTTTCCTTAGGATCTTCTTTGTGGTTTCCTGACTTAAACACACACTCAAGTGTAATGATTCTAGTGGGAACACGATATGCCCAAAATAGTTTGCCGATTTGTGCTTTTCTTGGAAAGTATGAGGTAACTAACCACCTGCACTTATAATATTTACCTTAAATCTCTCATGGACTTAGTGTTTACATTAAATGTTGATTCCCTCCATCATGAAATCGTCTGTGGTTTTGACTTCTTAATTCTGCCAACTATTTGCCAATAAGTAGTTA